AAGCTTCCAGCAAACAAAAGCCCAGGACCAGACGGCTTCACAGGGGAGTTTTACCAAACATTCAAGGAAGAACTAAAACCTATCCTCCTCAGACTACTACAAAAAATTCAAGAGAAAGGAACACTTCCAAGCTCATTCTATGAAGCCAGCATCACCCTAATACCAAAACCAGGTAAAGACAACACAATGAAAGAGAATTATAGCCCAATATCCCTCATGAACATAGATGCCAAAATCCTCAACAAAATCTTAGCAAATCGGATCCAGCAGTACATCAGAAAGATCATACACCATGACCAAGTAGGATTTATCCCAGAGATGCAAGGATGGTACAATATCCGTAAATCAATAAACTTGATACACCACATAAACAAATTGAAAGAAAAAAAACCACCTGGTCATATCAATTGATGCAGAAAAAACGTTTGACAAAATTCAACACCCATTTTTGATAAAAACTCTCAGCAAGGTGGGAATAGAAGGATCATACCTCAACATAATAAAAGCCATATATGACAAACCCACAGCCAACATCATACTCAATGGACATAAACTAACACCGTTTCCCCTAAGAACAGGAACAAGACAGGGATGCCCACTCTCACCACTCCTCTTCGACATAGTACTGGAAGTATTAGCCATTGCAATTAGACAAGAAGAAGAAATAAAAGGCATCCAAAATGGAAAAGAAGAAGTAAAACTGTCTTTATTTGCAGATGACATGATATTATACATAAAAAACCCTAAAGACTCCATCAAAAAACTATTAGACTTAATAAAAGAATTTGGCAATGTAGCAGGATACAAAATTAACGCCAAGAAATGTCTGGCATTTCTATACACAAGTGAACTTGCAGAAAGAGAGGCTAAAAAAAAATCCCATTTACCATCGCACCAAAAAAATTAAGCTACCTAGGAATAAACTTAACTAAAGAGGTAAAAGACCTCTACTCAGAAAACTACAGGACCTTGAAAAAAGAGATAGAGGAAGACATAAACAGATGGAAGAACATACCATGTTCTTGGATTGGTAGAATCAACATCATTAAAATGTCCATACTACCCAAAGCAATCTATAAATTCAACGCACTTCCCATTAAAATAACAACAGCATATTTCACAGACCTAGAACGAACTCTCCAAAAATTCATCTGAAATAAAAAAAGACCCCGAATAGCTACAGCGATCCTGAGAAAGAACAAAGTAGGTGGGATTTCAATACCAGATATCAAGCTGTATTACAAAGCCACTGTTCTCAAAACTGCCTGGTACTGGCACAAGAACAGACATATAGATCAATGGAATAGAATAGAGAGCCCCGAAATTGGCCCGAACCAATATGCTGAATTAATATTTGACAAAGGAGGCAACAACATACATTGGAGTCAAGATAGACGCTTCAATAAATGGTGTTGGGAAAATTGGACAGATACATGCAAGAAAATGAAACTAGACCACCAACTTACACCATACACAAAAATAAACTCAAAGTGGATAAAGGACTTAAATGTACGACGGGAAACCATAAAAATACCAGAAGAATCCAAAGTTAACAAAATCTCAGACATATGCCGAAGCAACTTCTTCTCCGATACAGATCCTAGGGCATTGGAAACTAAAGAGAAAATAAACAAATGGGACTACATCAAAATAAAAAGCTTCTGCACAGCAAAAGAAACCATCAATAAAGCAACAAGAAAGCCCACTGCAGGGGAGAACATATTTGCCAATGTTATCACCAATAAGGGTTTAATCTCCAACATTTATAGGGAACTCATACAACTTAACAAAAGGAAGATAAACAATCCAATCAAAAAATGGGCAAAGGACCTAAATAGACACCTTTCAAAAGAGGACATTCAGAAAGCCAAGAGACATATGAAAACATGCTCAAAGTCACTAATGATCCGAGAGATCCAAATCAAAACAACAATGAGGTACCATCTCACACCTGTCAGAATGGCTATCATCAACAAATCCACAAACGACAAGTGCTGGAGAGGATGTGGAGAAAAAGGCACACTCGTGCACTGCTGGTGGGAATGCAGACTCGTGCAGCCACTGTGGAAGACAGTATGGAGTTTCCTCAAAAAACTAAAAGTGGAACTCCCATTTGACCCTGTGATCCCACTTCTAGGAATATATCCCAAGAAAACAGAAACACCAATCAAAAAGGATATATGTACCCCTATGTTCATAGCAGCACAATTCACCATAGCTAAGATCTGGAAACAGCCTAAGTGCCCATCAGTAGATGAATGGATTAGAAAACGGTGGTACATCTACACGATGGAATACCATACAGCTGTAAAAAAGAAGGAATTCTTACCATTTGCAACAACATGGATGGAACTGGAGAGCATTATGCTAAGTGAAATAAGCCAGTCAATGAAGGAAAAATACCACATGATCTCACTCATTTTTGGATAATAAAGACCATTATAAACTTATGAACAAAAATAGATACAGAGGCAGAGCTGCCTCAAACAGACTGTCAAACTACAGCTGGAAGGCCAGGAGGGTTGGGGGGCAGGAGGGGCGCGGGGTAAGAGATCAACCGGAGGACTTGTATGCATGCATATAAGCATAACCAATGGACATAGACACTGGGGGGTAGGGGAGGCCGGGGGATTGTCAAGGGTGGGGAAAAAAAAGGAGACATATGTAATACTCTTTGTAATACTTTAAGCAATAAATAATTTTTTAAAAAAATATAAAATAATAATAATAATAAGGTCTAATTCTCTTTGCTCCTTTCCTTCATTAATATCTAGCTTCCTATGGTAACACTATTACTTTTCATCTTTTTTCTCTTTTTTCTTTTTTTATTTGTCAATTAAAGTTTACATTCAATGATAGTTTATATTTGTTAAAACTTTAGAAAAATGAAGGATAATATCCTAGGCAAGACTAAAGCAAAACTCATACAGTAAATAATTGAAAAACTGGGCCAAAATAAAAGTTTATGGTGACAGTACTCTCAATTTTATTTTTATTACAGTTGTAATGGGAAGGATATTTGCTCAGTTTACTATTAATGTTAGCACAGACATGAGACATCATCAAGCGAGACTGGTGTTCAAAGATACTCCTGTCCATGGTGATCTAAAACTCTGCCATGAACAGGGTGTACCAGTTATTCTGGACCTAGTACACAGCATTCAAGTCTTTGACTGCTGGCATCTTCAGTGTCTGTCCTCCCTGGCAACATAGTTATGGGTTCTTTTCCATGGGACAGCTCTGAGCTAGGCCAGTCCATTAGTAATCAGATTTCAGTCTGGAAGGGGCAGCTAGATTGTATCTTCCTTCCCTCGCCAAAGAAGAAAGGGGAAGTTTAGCAAAATATAAAATAGTATTTCGATAGTCACTGCCCTACTCCAACCAAACACCACAGAGAAAAACTGGCAAAACCCTTATCTTCATCAGCAAAGGTCAGGTGGGAAGTCCAGAGCTCTACCTTAACCCACCCATAATGAAACACTCCCCCCTACCCCACTGGGCTTGTAGCAGAGAAGCAGCTGGGACTTTCATCACACCCAATAGTAAGGTGCTCCTCTCAGTCATGTCAGTAGAGGCCATGTGGGGAGCATTTTACAAGGCCTCCTTATAACCCCAAGAAAGGGTGGTGTCAGCAAGATTGTGAGAGAGAGCTTCTAACTCCACCCAGCACTAACAAGGTATCCCTCCCCCACTGGAGTGTCAGTGGACCCAGGTGGGGAATCTGGATTTCACCCTCAGTTCCAGCAACAAGAAGACAGCCCTTTTCCCCCTTGCCATGATGTCAGAGTAGCCTTCCAAAACAAGATTTTATTAAAATCCATGGATTTAAAACATAATACCTTATATATCCAGTATACAACTTTAAAAAATCATTATGATACCAAGAACCAGGGACATATTAACTTTAGATGACACAAATTAGAATTATTTGACAAGTATTTTAAAGCAGCCATCATAAAAAATGTTTCAACGAGAAATAGCAAACAAACTTTTTGAAACAAGTGAAAAAATAGAAAATCTCAGCAAAGAAAAATTATATATATATATATATATATATATATATATATATATATATATATATATATATAAAACCTTGACAAAGAAATAGGTGATACAATGAAGACCAAAATGGAAATTTTTAGACCTGAAAAACACAATAACTTAAGTGAAAGCTCTACTGGGCTTCCAGTCAAAATGGCAGTGTAAGTAAATGTGGTACTTGAATCCCTCTCACAACCACATCAAAAGTACAACTAAACTACAGAACAATCATGATTCAGAACTGCCTGAAATCAGGCTGAATGGAAGTCCAGCATCTAGGGATTTAAAGAAGAAACCACATTGAGACTGGTAGGAATGGCAGAGACATGGAATGGGCTGGTCCCACACCCACCAGTGGTGGTTTAAAAATGGGAGGTATATCTTGGCTGCAGAGGCCCCAGCTGAGGACCCTCCCAGACCAGGGTTCCTGAGCCATGAATAGAAGTCCTCATAACTTCTGGCTATAAAACTAATAGGAATTTTGGCTGCGTAAGGCAGAAGTTCCAGAAGTTTCAGGCATTCCTTCTAAAGAGCCCATGCACAGCCTTACTTGGATTCACTCCCTCTGAGCTACAGTTCTGGGGCAGCAGTTTGAAAGAAACCAGAGAGATACAGGGAGGAACTGAATTTCCTGGCATCAGGACAAGAGCTGCAGAGACAGCTTTCTCCCAAACAGAAGTGCTGGCATTGTTCATTGTTCCTTTTCTGAGAGACCCACACACCCACACAGAGCAGGCAGACCAGCACCATATCTGAGTCTCAATCAACGTGGTTCACACTCTTCACCTGCCCTGGTGATTCCCTGAGACCCTGCCCCACCCAATTTTCCAACCAATCCAAGCCATTTCCAGGAGCTTTCCCATACAACTGGCCTTTCTTGCCTCATGCATCAACTTTCCTGAAATCTCTCAAACCAAAATGAAAAATTACTCAAAGCTATAATTTAGAGATTGCTGAAAATGGCGACCAGCAGGAAGGTAGGGAGGGAGAGAGTGTGAGAGCGCAAGGAAGTGATAGAGGAGTGTGTGGACGTGTGTGGTGTGTGTGTATGAGCTAGGGACAGTTAGATTCTGCAGGTCTTCTCAGAGGCTGCTAAACCGGGCAGTCTTAGGCAGCGGAGTCCCGCTGCTCCCGGCGGGGACACTCCTGGGCTGCCAGCACAGGCACAGTGACCACGCCATCTTGGGAAACAGAGCTGCTTGAGACTAGGATCCTGGCCTCAGCACCACCCAGTCTGATCGCAGACACATACCAGGACCCTGCAGCCACTGGGGACAGAGACCTGTGACCACATCTACAGACCTGCGGACACCAAAAATTCAGAGATCCCCGCGCAGATCCGTAAGTAACAGAGCCCATCCCCCCTTCCCGCAGGCTCGCGGGCAGTGCCAGAGTAACTAACTGTTAGACCCACCCCTTGCCGGGGCCTCAGTGCTGCAGGAACTTTGGCCTGGAAGTGCGCGAGCACCCTGGAACTGATCCTTTGTGCACTGCCGGCTTCGGAGCCCTGGGCTGGTTGAAAACCAAACGCGCGAGCACCAGGAATTGATCCTACGCCCACTGCGGGCTTCGGAGCCCTGGGCTGGGAGCAAACACGGGAACGGGAATTTGTCCGCGTAGCACAGGCCCAGGGACCCCGTTTCGCGGGGCAGGAGGCAGCACCAAGCACCAGTGACTTGACTGTGTTTCTTATCACCTGCGCCTGAGATTCTGATTCCCTGTGCATTCATACTAAGAGCCAGTGAATCCAATTCCTGGTGCAAGGGCACACAGGGACCCTGATACTCAAGGCGAGGTCGCGTGAAGCAGCAGAGACTCTGATACTGGTCTCTTGGGGAACTCTGACTCCTGGCGCATGCTAGGGGGCTCTGGTTTTCAACACGGTGCAGGCAGGGGTCCCTGATTCTAAGGGCACATACGAGGCCACATTGAGCGCTGGCAACACTGACTCAGAGCGAGCCTGGTTCCCACCAACCAACAACAACCACACAGCTTAGTGTCAGAGCTCTTCAGTGACACTAGGGTGGTGGGAGGCTCCCACTGCACACGGCCCAGGCCCACGCAACTCGACCTTTGTACCATCGGGAGATAATCAGAATGAAGAGACGACACAACACCCAGAGGAAAGACAATGAGGAATCACTAAGAAAGGAGATTAATAAAGTTGAAGCATGCAACATGACAGAAAAAGAATTCAGAATGATGGTTGTACAATTCATTCACCGGATGGATGAGAAAATCAACAGCCTATGCAAGAATCAGGAAGAAATGAAAAGTGATATAGCTACAATCAAAAACACCATGGAAAGTTTCAACAGCAGACTAAAAGAAGCAGAAGACCGAATTAGTGAGTTAGAACATAAGGTAGAAAAACAAGCTCAATCTGAACAGCAACTGGAGAAAAAAATTAAAAAACAGGAGAGCCTAAGGGAGCTTCAGGACAACATGAAACGAAGTAACATACGCATAATAGGGCTGCAAGAAGGACAAGAAGAACAGCAAGGATTAGAAAATCTATTTGAAGAAATAATGACAGAAAACTTCCCAGATGTGGGGAAGAAAAAAGTTACACAAGTACAGACAGTCCCAGGCAAGATGAACCCCAAAAGACCGACACCAAGACATGTCATAATAATGATGGCAAATGTACAAGACAAAGAGAGAATTTTAAAGGCTGCAAGAGAGAAACAGAGAGTTACCTACAAAGGATCCCCCATCAGATTATCAAACGATTTCTCAACAGAAACACATCAGGCCAGAAAAGAATGGACAGAAATTTACAAAGTGATGCAAAGCAAAGGACTGAATCCAAGAATACTCTATCCAGCAAGGCTATCATTCAAAATTGAAGGGGAAATAAGAAGCTTCACAGACAAAAAAAGGCTAAGGGAGTTTATCACCACCAAGCCAGCATTGCAAGAAATGATGAAGGGACTGGTGTAAAAAGAAGAAATAAAAAGCCCAGAAAGAAAACAGCCACAAAAAAATAGAAATGGCTACAAACAAGTACCTTTCAATAATAACTTTAAACGTAAATGGACTAAATGGCCCAATCAAAAGACATCAAGTGGCTGAACGGATAAAAAAAACACGACCCATACATTTGCTGTCTACAAGAGACCCACCTCAGAATAAGGGACTCACACAGACTGACAGTGAAGGAATGGAAAAATATCTTTCAGGCAAATGGAAAGGAAAAGAAAGCTGGGGTAGCAATACTTATATCGGACAAAATAGACCTCAAAGTGAAGGCCATAACAAGAGATAAGGAAGGCCACTTCATAATACTAAAGGGATCAATACAACAAGAAGATATAACCCTGATAAACATGTATGCACCCAATGCAGGAGCACCCACATACATAAGAAAACTCCTGGAAGATATCAAGAGAGAGATCGACAACAATACAATCATAGTAGGGGACTTTAATACACCACTGACATCACTGGATAAATCCGCTAAACAAAAACTCAGCAAACAAACAGCAATCCTAAATGACTCACTAGATCAGATGGACTTAATAGACATCTTCAGAACACTTCACCCCAATGCCACAAAATATACGTTCTTCTCAACTGCTCATGGGACATATTCAAAAATAGACCACATATTGGGTCACAAACAAAACCTCCCCAAATTCAAGAAGATTGAAATCATAAAAAGCATTTTCTCAGACCACAATGGCATAATATTAGAAATAAACTACAATAAAAAAAAAAAAACCCAAAATACTCAAACACTTGGAAACTGAATAGCATGTTATTAAATATTGATTGGGTTACCAATGAGATCAAAGAAGAAATTAAAAACATCCTGGACACTAATGACAATGAAAACACAACAATCCAAAACCTTTGGGACACAATGAAAGCAGTCCTGAGAGGGAAGTTTACAGCTCTACAGGCCTACCTCAACAAACAAGAAAAAATGGTAGTAAATCATCTAAATCTACAGCTCAAAGAATTAGAAAGAGAGCAACAAGAAAAGCCCAGAGTGAGCAGAAGGAAGGAGATAATAAAGATTAGAGCAGAAATAAATGACATAGAGACCAAAAAAACAATACAGAAAATCAATGAAACCAAGAGCTGGTTCTTTGAAAGGATAAACAAGATTGACAAACCTCTAGCCAGGCTCACCAAGAAGCAAAGAGAGAGGACCCAAATAAACAAAATCAGAAATGATAGAGGCGAAATAACAACAGACCCCACAGAAATACAAATGATTGTTAAAAAATACTATGAACAACTTTACTCCAACAAACTAGACAACCTGGAAGAAATGGACATATTTCTAGAAAAATACAACATTCCAAAACTTAATCAGGAAGAATCTAAAAATCTCAACAGGCCAATAACTATGGAAGAAATTGAAGCAGTCATCAAAAAGCTTCCAGCAAACAAAAGTC